CCCAGCTTCTGGGAGTGCTGTCTGCAGAGAGCCTCCAGCTGTCAGCCCCTTGGGTTGAATCCCTGCCTCACCTGCAGGGAGCCACCTTGCCCAAGGTCACACCCCTTTCCTGGGATGGCTCTGTCCAGTGATTACTTGAGGAAAGGATAAAGACCTAGCTATCCTGGCCTAACACAGGACAATTCTGAAGACCCATTTTAACTCCTGGGTTCTGGGTTCCCTGTGGGGTTAGTCAAGGTTATTGCTGAGCCTCCACACTAGCTTGACCTTTACCCCTGTCCACTCCTGCTTCCTGCCCCTCCCTTCTACAAGAGTTGATCTCAAGGACATTCACTAATAAACCTCCCAAACACTAACCTCTGCCTCCTTGGAAAACCTAACCTGGGACACACATAATTAAAACAATAGTTCTGCAACAACATTTATCCTTTTCATGTGTTGTGCACGCTCATATTATCTATGATATTCCATTTTTTTTTTATGTTGGTCGTGACCCACTAAATTGTTTTCATGACTCAGCCATGGTTTGAAAATACTAGCTTGAACTATGTCCATGAAGCACAGAAGAGTCAGTATGTACTTTGGGTTGTCTTTGGCTGCAAGTAAAAGAATGCCTGGCCAAACACAGATTAAATAACAGAGGTTTACTTTTTACGTAACAACTGATTTAGAAACTGGTGATTCCAGAGTTTGTTCATGACTCAACAACTTCAAAAGCCCAGATTTTTTCCATGTTTCTCCACCATCCTTGACATGTTGGCCATGTCTCCTCATGGCCACAAAATGGCTGCCACTGCTCCAGGTTGTCCTCATGCAACCATCTCCAAAGAAAGTTGGGATGGGAAGCATCTCTTCACACATTCCTTTTAATTCAGGAAGAAAAAAATTCTGCAGAAGCCCCAGGTGCAGACTTCGTCTTATTTCTCAGTGTCCAGAACTAGGTCACTGTTCATGTCTAAATCAATCTCTATCATCTAAAGTTCCATTTCATTAACAGACAAAAAGGTGAAGGTTGGTAAGCAACCAACAAGGTCTGCCACAGTCCATATCAGGTATCCCATTCAGACCTTATTTCATTCCAGGATCCAATGTCAAAGGCCCTGAGGTGAGACAGAGTCACTGATCTTAGACAGATTCACAGCAATCATACCACCACTCAGCATCCTAGACCCACAACAGACATCACTAGTAGATCACAGAAGTCTTTCCCACTGAGCAGGAATGTGATTTCACAATGTATTCCAACAGAGTACTTTATGCACCCATTACCAACCTATTAGAATTAGAACCTGAGATGAAATCTGGTTCCTGCCCTGGCCTCTAGACCAGGGGATAACAATGGCAACAGACATGAGGATGATTAACAAGTTTTTTGCTCTGTGTTTTCAGAACACTCTCGTTAACTCACACTATTCAACCTTCTCACTTGTTATATTTCCTTCTTCTCTTGGCCTATCTAATTCCCATTTGTCCTTGAAAGAGGCCCAACTCAAGCTGGATTCCTCCAGGAAGTCCCCCTGGTATAACCTCATCTAAAAGTATTTGCTGAACCCACTGATCAATCTTAACAATACTCAAAGTAATATAACCAGACATTGTGTGCCTGCTACCGGTTCACAAGAAATATGGGACTTATATTAAATGACACATGGGATGTAATTAGCAAAACTCTAAAATGTCAGACACGAAAGAACCAACGACCTAGTGCCATTAGCAAGTAAATGACATTTTAAAAAGGAAGGGAAATTTTGTCGATTTGTATCAGTTATCTGTTTGCCACAATAACGCTATGTAATAAGCCACACTAGAACATAGTGATTTAAAATAACGGTTAATTATTTCTCATGAATCTGTGGTCAGATGGGCAGTTCTTTTGGTCTGGGGAAGTCTCAGTGGAATCGTGCAAGACATCTCAAGGCCCAGACCCAGAAATCATCACTTCTGCTGCATCCTATTGGCCAAAACAAGTGACATGATCAAGCCTAGATTCCAAGATGGGGACATAGACTCTATCTCTCAAAAGGAGAAGCTGCAAAGTCACAGAACTAAGGCAGTGGATACAGAGACAGGCCATTTATTGCAACCAACCCACCACAGGTTTAAAAGAAACCAAGTACATTATCAACCAAATGCAATGTGTGCCCCTGTTCAGATCTGGATTTAAACTAACCAACTGTAAGACCTCATTTTTGTGGTCATTAGGGAAAATAGAACACTGACTATTAAATGATAATAAAGAATTGTTGATTTTTAAGTATGATAATGGTCTTGTGAATTTTTTCAAATGCCCTTATTGTTAGAAGTACATACTGAAGTATTTGTGGGTGAAATGATATGATGTCTGGGATTTATTCTAAATGTTCTATTAAGAAAGGAAATAGGGGGGATGGATAGATGTACCAGAATGGCAAAAACCATTGATAGCTGTTGAAGCTGGGTAATGCACACGTGGGGGTTTATATTACTATTCTCATTACATTACGTGTATGTGTTTGAAATTTTCCATACTAAGAAATGTTTTAAGATTGTTCAGCTTTCTTTTGCTCAGATAGTTTTGTAGAGTGTTGTGTGATTATCACTGATGGTTCAAGAACATTACGGAGAAGGGCTCAATGTGGTGCTCACCTGTCTTTAACGCCTATCAAGTACTCATTAATCCCTCTTCATAGCTAAATGAGAGCAGGTCACAGGCTCCGGAGCCCTTGGAAGGAAAAGGATATAGCAAGAATTTCATATCATTGCTTGATTGTCACTGCATTTATTTCTTGCTATTACCTTTTCTCTACCATGAGTGATGCTGCTTTTCTCTTTATGGATAGTGACAAGAAGTTCTCTTTTTAAATAAATTAAGGTTATAAACAGTAACTTTTTAAGTGATCAAATCAACAATGCAGATAGTAAAAGGTTATGGTTATGCTAAAACTGAAGATAGTTGTTTTCATTAAGGTCGACTACCTTGTTCTAACAAACATTTCCAAATCTCACTGGCTTTATGTAATAAAGTTCTGTTTTTCATGTTACAGCCCAGGGGGATGAGAGCTCTGCTCCATGAAGTCATTCAGGGACACAGGCTCCTCCCAGCTGGTGGCTCTTAA